AAGTAGCTGGGACTACAGGCACCTGCCACAACACCTAGCTATTTTTTTGTTGTAGTTGTCATTGTTTAGCAGGCCTGGGCTGAGTTCAAACCCACCAGTCCCAGTGTATGTGGCCAGTGCCCTAACCACTGAGCACAGGCACCAAGCCACTTTTTTTTTTTTTAAAGACAGAGTCTCACTTTGTCACCCTCAGTAAAGAGCCATGGCATCATCATAGCCCACAGCAACCTCAAATTCCTGGGCTCAAACAATCCTTTTGCCTCAACCTCCTGAGTAACTGGTACTACAGGCACCTGCCACCATTCCTGGCTAATTCTGAGCCAATACTTTAAAACCAGGAGATTTCACATAAATCAAAAGACTTGGCAAAAGCCCCCTCTCTCATTCCTATGCAGCATCGACTGTGTAATAGCCTGGCACCTGTGGGCAGGCTGTGTTTGTTTACTGGCCCTACCATGCCCCTCTACCTCCCACCAGGCCACTCTCTCACCTCCTGAGCTTCCCTAGCTCTTCAGGCATCTAACAGCCTGGCAGGCACTGAGCAGCTGGGGAGCAGTGGTGGCAAAGGCCCTCTGATATTGCCTTCAGGTCCCTGGAATCCCCACAAAGACAAATAATGCAAATCTCACTAACACTTGAAGAAAACTTGTATTGCCAGAAGGACCCCATTTTTGGAGAGCAGAGACCTCTGCTTTTTGCAAACCAACATCTCCTGGGGGCTTCTGTCTTTCTGGCCACATACCCCCTCAACTCCTGCAGGGACCCTCCTAGTGTGTTTCAGACAATGGAGACTGGGAATCCTCCCAGTGGGGAGGACTTGAGACAGCCAAGTTGACACTCCTGCCACCCCTCATTATGATAACAATCACAAGGACAACAATAATTGGCCATTATTGAGTCCTTAGCAAGTGACAGCCAATGCTCTGTACTCTAAATGAACACTTTTTGGCTGGGTGAGCTCTCACCTGTAACCCTAGCACTCTAGGAGGCTGAGGTGGGCAGATAGATTGAGCTCAGAATTTGAGACCAGCCTGAGCAAGAACAAGACTCTATTGCTACTAAAAATAGAAAAAACTAGCCTGGCATTTTCACAGGCACCTGTAGTCCCAGCTACTCAGGAGGCTGAGGCAAGAGGATTGCTCAAGCCCAAAAGTTTGAGATTACTGTGAGCTATGATGCCATGGCATTCTACCCAGGGTGACAGAGTGAGACTGTGTCAAAAACAATAAATAAACTCTCCCATTTAACTGGTGTAGTCCCACTATGGGATGGGATCTGCTGACATGATTCTCATTTTACCAAACACTCACTGAGGCTTAGAAGGGAAGTCACCCAAAGTCAAACAGCCAGGAAGTGGCCAGGCTGGATTCAAACCCAGGCCCCACTGCCCTTGCAGCTTGAGCTTTTTGATCAGCAGGCAAACCACCTCCCAGGAGTGAGCTGTCATGCCACTCCCAGGCCCGACTGCTAGCATAGATGTTGGTGCCTGTGGGATTCTTGGTCCTCCATGCCCTGCCCTCCTGGTTTGAAATATGTAGGAGTGTTGTCAGTTTCTTTCTTTAGAACTCCTCTTGAAATACAAGTTCTAATGGAAGCATCCATGTCCCCACACTGTGGTCTACTGAGTGTGTGGGTAGTGGCTGGTCTGATCATGGAGTGGGGCTTGCACAATTGAGGTATGAATAAGGAGTATGAATTGAGGTATGACTAAAGGAATCAGGGACTCACATCCTGGCTCAAATGATAATGCTTCTGCATATGACAACAAGAGGTAAATCTGTCTTGTCTCCTTGTGGAGTGGTGTAGAGGGCAAATGGCTTTGTCTTTGCCTCTAGAACAGCTAAATCATGCTAGGCAGAAGCATCTGTGCAAGGACTTTGCAGAAATAAGAAAGCATGGGCTAGGTAGCCAAACAGTGCATGCCCAGACCACACCCACCTTCATGCATCATCGCTCCAGCCCACAGGCACAGAAGAGGCCTGCATCTGCCATGTTTAAGCTGCCTTGTTTATACCCGCCTCTACCTGGCCATGTCCCATTGGACCAAGGCTGAACACCTAACTCATAAGCTGAGTCATACTCTTTCCTAGAGAATGCTGAGCTAACCAACAAACACAGAGATGACTGTGATCTCTGGAATTAGAGATGCTTATAGACTGAGGGTCAAGGCCACCATTGGAGGCCATGTGTGTTGATGATCAGGCCAAGAGAAATTATATGATATGTGGAGAATAGCTGAGGTGACAGGTCATGTGGCCCAAGAGTGACAGAGAACCAACCCTTCCTGCTCTCAGAGTCCACCAAATACACCCATTCCTTATAACAAAACCAGCTTGAGGGAGTATCTGTTTCTTACAACCAAAAGTTCCAAAAGGAGAGAGAGAAGAGATAGAAGAAGGAAACAGAAAAGGTTTGGGAGTTTGAAGGGAGATTTATGAAAGGATATCATAGAAAGGCCAGGGAACCATGAGTCAGCCAGGAAGGGGGCACAGAAGCATGGCCAGAAGGCACAGCAGAGACAGGAACATTCATAGGCAACAGAGATGGTAGGAGGAGACAGAAAGCAGGAGTGTGGGGATACAGCCAGGAAGATGGAAAAAGGAGGACAAAGGAGGTGGTGGTGGAAGAAAGGTCAGTGCCAGTGTGAGGGCAGAGAAGGAGGAGACCTGGACAGGCCTATGCTAGAACCCCTGCCCCATCCACAGCTCCACCGGTACAGTACCTGCTGAAGGCTGCTGCTCCAGACACAGTGCTGCCAGCCCCCATCTGCACCCTTCGAGTCCAGGCAGGAGGTGCAATTGGGTAGGAGGTGACAGGGGGTGGGGCAGGGCAGTGGTGGTGACGATTCCACTGGCATTGGGGACACATTCAGCAAAGAGTGGCTGAAGCACGTCCAGTCATAGGTGGGCTGCACCGACAGGATGCGGCGAGTCTCCCCTTGGGACAGGAGCACAGGGAATAGGAGCTAGTGCTGGGGCCCCAGCTTCCTACTCACTCAGACCCAGGAGTCCAGGCCCCCAAACTCCCCTCTCAGGAACCAAGCCCAGCTATTCACCCGTCCTCTTGAACTGTCGTGTCCACATGCACTTGCCCTCCCGAGTGCACTGCTCACAGTCTGCAGCCCCGCATGCCGCCTCTGAGCAGTTCCCTGCCCAGAAGACCTCTCGCTGGTTGATCCGACAGTCATTCTCTGAGGTACAGGACCCGTTGCGCCCGATGCAGGCACCCTCGGGGCAGTTGGTACACCACTTACAGCGGGGGGCAGATGCCTGCGGTAGAAATGGGCTTGGTAGAGTTCTCAGAGGCCCCCAGCATTCCTTCTGAGCTAGCAAAAGGGCTTGGTGGTTCCTGAGACCCTGTGGTTGGTGGGACAGCTGACGAGAGTAGAGATGAAAACCTCCCTCCCCTCCACCTGCTGCTCCTCACCCCCTGCCCATTTACCTCTCCATCTCCAGGCTGCAGGGTCCGGGGATGGCGGGCCAGGCACTCACTGCAAGTCCGGAGTCGGCGACATTCCTCCGGGGAACGAGGCATTGGGGAGCAGGGGGTTGCCCCACAGCCCAGCCTGGAGGGCAAGAGGCCTGGCTCACTCACATCTAGCCAGACCCCATCCTCCTGCCTCTAAGACACTATCCTGCAGGACCCCCATGCCTTATCCCAAGCTGGACTCAGCAGCAACCTCCCGAACCTGGTGATGGTCACACATCATCTGAGCCAGAGATGCTGGACAATATCCCAGCTTCTTCTGCCTCTCCAGCCACTGAGGTCTTTAGCTTCCCGAATTTCTCTCTGACTATCCCCTCCTCTTCATACCTGTACCCCTTCCCCACCCACAACCTCTTTTCTGCACTCTACCCTTCACAATAGCTCCAGGGATCTTTCTGCCTGGGCCTGCCCCATCCCTTTCCTAGTCAAACTTTCAGTGGCTCCCCATCACCCACAGTGGAGGTCCACAATCCCTTATCACAGATCCTAGGTGGCACATGTGTTTCAGAACTTTTCAGATTTTAGAAAAGTAGTGGGAGTACCCATTATTACACACACCCCCAGGAGTGTCTAGAGGAGCACCCCATCATCAAACCCCTTAATCCTCCTGTAGCAAATGCAATGACACTGCATAGGGCAAATAGGGTCCATCAATAGCTTCACATCAGAAGAGGGTGACAGAGCAGCCAGATAAGCTTGTGCTGAGCCTAGGAAAGTGTCTTCTCTTTCCAGAAAGGCTTGGATTTCCTGACTGCAGCTGAGTGGTCTGGCTCATTTACCCCCAGGACAGCATCACTCAAATACACAAAGCACAGCCTCACTTCCAAGTCTTTGCTGTTCTAAACTCTACCAGTTCAGTGCCCAGGTCAGACCCAGTTCCCCTGGGAAGCATTCTCAGACGGGACCCCAGCCCATAGGCAGGGCTCCCCCTCAAAGCTCCCTAAGCCTCCCTGACCCTAGTGATTCATCTACTTTCCTAGGTGTGGGCTAGCACCCTCAAAGCAGACAGTACATTCCTGAAGCCTCCCTCCTGCCCTGGCCTAGCACAGAACCCCCTTTAGGAGGTACCCCTACCACCTGCCAGCAATGGGCTGTCAGCCGCCATGGTTACCTGTGGGCCTGGTCCCCAGACAAGCAAGCCCCATGGCACCATGTGCAGGCCCCAGACTGGTTACAAGCTTCAGATGAGGACAGTAGGCGGCAGGGGTCAGGAGGCAGGGTCAGTGCCAGCAGGCGGCCCAGGGCGACCCCACCAAATCCCCCGGAGATATACAGGCGACTCCCCACTGCTGCCACGGCATGGGCCACAGACTCCTCCATTGGGGCCCCCACAGAGGCCAAGCCTAAGGAAAGATGGGAGTTCAGAGAGATAGAGAGCAGGAGACCAGAAAAAAGACCCACACAGGCCAGTCAGAGAGGGAGACCAAGAGAGGAGAAAGATAGTCAGAAGAAAGTGGAAACAAACACAGAAAGAGAAGAGACAGACGAGGACAAGGCAGGGCAAGAGAATCAGCTACATAGACAGAAAAATGGAACAGAAAGAGTAGAATAAGAACAGAGACAAATGTTTTAGAACCAGATAGGTGGCAGCATTAAATGCCACTGAATGTTAAAATAGTTTATGTTATTTGAATTTCACTTCAATTTCTTTAAATACTCAAAAAAAATACAGTGGTAAAAAAGACTGATTAAGAGAAAAATGGAATTAGAGACAAAGGGTCAGATAGAGAAACAAAAAGAAAAAGAGGCCCAGAAATGCACATACAGCCAGGTCACAACATTAAAGGAGGTCAAAAGGCAAGAGATAAGCCCCTTTCCAACCTATGAACAGCAAAGACCAGCAGGAAACACCCCCACACCACCACATATAATAGTGGTAGTCTCAAGAGAGTAGTATTATAAGTAGTATTTTTCTTCCTATTTTATAAATAACATATAGTTAACATTATTACTTTTTTTTTTCTTACAGAGTCTCACTTGGCCACACTTTGTAGAGTGCAGTGGCATCATAGCTCACAGCAACCTCAAACTCTCAGGCTCAAGTGATTCTCTTGCCTCAGCCTCTCAAGTAGCTGGAACTGCAGGTGCCTGCTCCAATGCCCAGCTATTTTTAGAGAAGAGATCTCGCTCTTGCTCAGGCTTGTCTTGAACTTCTGAATTCAGGCGATCCACCCACCTCAGCCTCCCAGGGTGCTAGGATTACAGGTATGAGCCACTGCACGTGGACTACATTATTACTTTTATAATCAGAATGAGAGAAAGATAAACTTTCTGGGCTCGGCACCTATGGCTCAAGCGGCTAAGGCGCCAGCTATATACACCTAAGGTGGCGGGTTCGAATCCCTAGCCCGGGCCCGCCAAACAACAATGATGGCTGCA